TGGGATTACAGGCGTGAGCCACCGCGCCCGGCCCTTCGTTTTTTTTTTTCCTGAGACAAAGCCTTCTGTCTCTCAGGCTAGAGTGCATTGGCCGGATATTAGCTCACTGCAACCTCCACCTCCCGGTTTTAAGCGATCCTCCTGCTTCAACCTCCCAAGTAGCTGGGATTACAGGCACCCATTACCAAGCCAGGTTTATTTTTACATGTTTTTGTAGAGATGGGGTTTCACTATGTTGGCCAGGCTTGTCTGGAACTCCTGACCCCAAGTAATTCATGCGCCCAGTCGATATTTCTCATTTTTATTTTTATTTTATTTATTTTTTTGAGATGGAGTTTCGCACTGTCGCCCCAGCTGTAGTGCAGTGGCTTGATCTTGGCATACTACAATCTCCGCCTCCTAGGTTCAAGCACTTCTCCTGCCTCAGCCTCCGAATAGCTAGGACTACAGGCGTGTGCCATCACACCCATCTAATTTTTTAAAAAAATATTTTTAGTAGAGATGGAATTTCACCATGCTGGCCAGGACGGTCTCGATCTCCTGACCTCATGATCTACCAGCGTCAGCCTCCCAAAGTGCTGGGATTACAAGTGTGAGCCACCGTGCCCAGCTGATATTTCTCATTTTTAAAAAAGCTTAGGGCTGAACAAGGTGGCTCATGCCTGTAATCCCAACACTCTGGGAGAATGAGTGGGGCTGAAGGTCAGGAGTTCCAGACCAGCCTGGTCAATGTGGTGAAACTCCATCTCTACTAAAAATACAAAAATTAGCTGGGCATGGTGGGAGGCGCCTGTAATCCCAGCTACTTAGGAGGCTGAGGTGACAGATTCGCTTAAACCCAGAGGCAGAGGTTACCAGTAAGCTGAGATCACGCCACTGCACTCCAGCCTGGTCAACAGAGTGAGACTCCATCTCAAGAAAGACAGAAAGAAAAAAAGCTTAAGTTTGTTATTTTTCAGAATTTATGCCTTAGGAAAAAATCTGAAAGGATATATATGGAAAAAGGGAGCTCTCAGAATAGTAAAACTCAAGATATATATATTTTTTGATTTTTTTTTAATGTCCTGGAAATATTTTTAAATTTTTTTTACTGGCACTACAATGCTGCTTATATAACAAAAACAAGTTTTATTTAAATAAATATAAATCAGACAACTCAGAGCACCTTGCCCTCCTGTGCATACCAGGGAGCTCTTTTTTCCAGAAAGCCATGTATCGTATTTTCTCCTAATCTGAGGCAGCAGCCAGAGCCATTCTCGCATGGAAGTCATCCATTTGGGTAAGCTGAGACTCTACGATCAGATGACTTACTGGCACCAGGTCACAGTCAGAAGTTTGCAAGTCATCAATGAAACCTTCAGGTGGCTATGGGGCTCACTTTCCAGATTATCATCAGGAAGCTTAGTATAGCAATGTCTTCTCTCTACAAACTGCTAGCAACGTTTTCAGATTCACTCTCCACTGGCCCTCACGCATTATTCAAACATTGCTCCCATTTAACTGGCAACCCTCCCCTAAGTTCTCTCTATCCCATTAGTCGCTTATCTCTCACCCCAGTCTCATTATTTTTTTAAAGTCAATACTGATTTTGTCGGAAATTTTCTCGAAAAAAGCCTCTTCTAATATAGCCAGTATTTTCAGAATTCAGCTATCAGTAAATGTTACTTATAGAAAATAACCACTTCACTGTACAAGCAGCTCTGGCTAAAGAAAAACAGCAAAACTGAGCCTAAGTCTTTGCTGAAATTACCAACCAAAATAGGGAAAAGAAAAATAACTTTAGTTTCTATATATGATTTTATTTCTAAGTTTTTTCTTCAGGGACAGGAGCATAAAACCTTAGAGCTTATGAATACTATTTTGAGATAATTTTCGCATCTTTGCTTATCTAAATTCCACCTACTCTTCCAGGCTCCAGTGCAAGTTTTACCTTCTTCATGAAGTCTTGATAATGGCTACAATGTATCTAACACTCACATACCTAGCATCTACTAACTCACTTACCTAGCATCTGCTAACTCACTTAACACAACACTCCTATGAGGAAAGTATGATTATTTCCCCCAATTTCCAGACAAGGAAACAAGAGAGGCGCTGGAAGCAGGTTACACAGCCAGTAAGTGGCAGACACAGGATTTGAGCTCAGGCAACCCAGGTCCAGAGGCGGTTCTTAATCACTGTTATATGACCTCTCCTCAAGACTGTGGTCCACCTTCTCTTTTCCTTCTACTATACTTGTTACATATACACCACAGTAAATTTATTATACTCTGTACACTTTTTTGTTTACCTTTCTGGTTTTTTTGAGATGGAGTTTTGCTTTTGTTGCCCAGGCTGGATTACAGTGCTGCAATCTTGGCTGACTGGAACCTCTGCCTCCTGGGTTCAAGCAATCCTCCTGCCTGAGCCTCCTGAGTAGCTGGGATTACAGGTGCCCATCACCACACTCAGCTAATTTTTTGTATTTTTTAGTAGAGACAGGGTTTCACCATGTTGGCCAGGCTTGTCTGGAACTCCTGACCTCAGATGATCTACCCATCTCAGCCTCCCAAAGTGCTGGGATTACAGGCGTGAGCTACTGCACTCGGCCTTCCTGGCTTTCTTATTTGTTCTATTATGTGTTTGCACTTGCTCCACAACTAAATTTTAAGTTCCTTTCAGGCAAGGCAACCATGACATTTACTTCCTACCCCTATTTCTAAGCAGAGTGCTGTGTATGAAACACTCAATACATGCTTCCAGCAGGCACAGTTCACCTGCCCGTAATCCCAGCTACAGGGAGCCTGAGGTAGGAGGATCACTTAAGCTCAGGAGTCCAAGTCCAGCCTGGGCAACACAGTAAGACCCCATCTCTTAAAACACACATACACATACACATACACACACACAGTTCTTAGTTTTTCAACACACACACACTCTCTCTCTCTCTCTCTCTCTCTCTCTCTCTCCTCTTAGCTAGTTTTTCAAAAATCCCTGGCAACATCTAGAACGTGAAGTCACAGGCTATGAATCAGCAAAATTACTTTAACACCTGAAGGATAACTCATGCCATCAGTGTGACATTTAGCATTACTAAAGTTAGGAAACTGACTACATATATTTATTTTTCTTCTTACTTAATGCATCTCTTCCTGGTGAGTCATACCTACAAAATTGGCAGACCCATCTATTTCCATTACCTAAAAGAGAACACTAAAGGAAAACCAAATGAAATTTCTTATTCTGCATATGCATAATCAGCAAGTGACAATCTGTGTTATCACAAATAGCACATGCAAGGGGAAAGAATACTGAAATCATAAAGTCTTCCGGGACTGGCAAACAGAATACATTTTATTATTATTATTATTATTATTTTGAGATGGGAGTCTTGCTCTGTCACCCATGCTGAAGTGCAGTGGCATGATCTTGACTCACTGTAACCTCTACCTCCTGGGTTCAAGTGATTATCATGTCTCAGCCTCCCGAGTAGCTGGGATTACAGGCAGATGCCACCATATCCAGCTAATTTATTGTATTTTTAGTAGAGATGGGGTTTCACCACGTTGGCCGTCTTGGTCTTGAACTCTTGACCTTAGGTGATATACCCACCTCAGCCTCCCAAAGTGTTGAGATTACAGGCATGAGTCACTGTGCCCAGCCCAGGATACATTTTAAATGTTTTTCAACCCATTGAAATGGGAAAATAAAAATGGAAGTTCAAAACATGACCTGTCTGAAATCACTCTAATCAACCCATCTACCAAGGTAGTTCAGAGTTAACCAAAATTCTTAATACTGGATATTAAGAATTAGCACAGCCCATAAGCAGGAAAACCACCCTGGGTAACTAGAACAGGACCATTACCCAGGTACTTGACAAATCTAATCACATCAAAATGTGGGGGCTATAGATCTTCAAATGATTTCTCAAATAATAAGGGAGAGAAGCTTAGGGTTTTACAGGCTTCTTACGAAATAGCACTTTTCAAATATACTACTAGTACAATTTCAATTTACATACACAACAGTGAAATATTATGCCAGCTCTCTAGGTACCTCAGCCATCTCTGGAAAAGGCTAATGTGACCCTAAACAAATAAATCCTGATTATGGGATTTCACTTACTTTTCCCTTTTAGCATCTGTCAGCTTTCTAGAGCTGAACAAGTTGTATGGCAATAGAGGGTACACATACAAACAAGCAAAAGGAAAACATCAGTGTTTTCTGCAGGCTGGCTGGTTTGTACATTCTGGGCTTAGTCTCTGAATGTTTAAAAACAAAGAGTATTAATGCCACTGAATTACACACTTAAAAATGGTTACAATGGTTTCTTAAAAAAAAAAAAAGACAACTCAAGTGACTTTGGGTCAATGAATAAAGTGAAAAAAGAAAATTACTCTGTATTTCATATAAAATGGTATTCAAGAATGAAGACTAATACCCTATTGTCAAATCAGAGCTTTTTGTTTCTTCCAAAAAATACGGATGCCACATTATAAGAAGACATAGAAATTATTTACAGATTCCATCTTGGGATCTGAAAGGCAAGTAAATACCCTTCATCTACACCAAACTACTATGTTGACTAGAGGTAAGCCCTAGAACCAGTACTCTGTACCAGGTTGAAGACCATACTAATCCTGGCCTGCACTTTACACCGGTTGTCATACCACTAAAGCAGAGTCTGCAACACTGTTATTTCAAAAACAGCACAAGCTTTTTATTCTCACACTATATACACAGTAACAGAGCAGAAGACAAGAATTAAAAATACTACCAGTTTAAGAGAATACAGTTTAAAGCTATTACTTTCTCCTAATCAAGGGTTTATCAAAGGTAACATGCTCAAGCCCCAGCTACTGAAAACACAAATCTTCCACAAGGGGTTACTCTGGCCCACATTTTTCTTATACATTCAGCTAAACTCTGATGTTTTGCCACACTGGAAAATTAGTTCTGCCATGATTTTAACACCCACTCACTTCTTAAAGAATTCCTATAGCTAAAGGAAAACTTACCTCTGCAAAATGTGTTGTTGTGCTATTGTCTATTCGACTGCTGCCACCACCTAAAAAACTAAAGAGAAGAGGAATGAGTGGTGATTCTATCCCCAGGAACAAGCTTCCATCCCAGAGCTAAATATAGAATGGCATAATGAGAACAAAGCCCAATAAGGAAAAAGAACTCATCCCAACACAACACCTATAAAGAAAATTATGAAGAACTGGCATGTGAACTCATCTATGAAAAGTAACATAAACCACAAAATCAAGTGGTTTTCAAGGGAATCAAAGCTAAATCCAGTGAAAAATTGGAGAGAGAAGCCACCATTGAGAAGGAAGAAGGCAATGCAATTGCCACAGCCAGCAATGCAATTCAAATTTGACCTATCAAAAGAAAAACATTTATCCTCAAAGACACTCACAAAACAAAAGGTTTCACTAAAAAACCATTCAACCACCAGATGAACACAACATCTGAGGCTACAATAGTTAATATTTCTAAAGAATCATCAACTGTAGTAACCTAAGAGGCCTGGTACTGTATTTAAAACATTATAAAAGAATTCAATAAATATTTCTCCTTCCACCCACCCTCAGGACCCATCTCAAATGCTACCTCCTTCATTAAGCCTTTCTGAACTCTCCAACCAAATAAGACTCCTCTAAACCCCTCTGCCCTCTGACTTTGATTCTAAAACCTACCTTGTATTATGAATATTTAGGATTTGCCTCATCCATTTCAACCCATTTCCCTCCTATCATCAACATAAATTCATTAGGCAAAGACTGCAATTTATTAATGCCTCAAATACATGTAGAGTGATGATTAATTGTCAGATATTACACAGCACTATCGCCTTTAAAAAAACCTGCTATGTCATATCCTATATTGATACTCAAAAGTTGTTGAATTAATATCACATGTGAAAATGATAAAATAACTACCTCTTCCCAAAGACCTTGAAGAGTGGAAAGAAATATGAAATCCCATTGTCCCCATGAAATTTGTAAAGAACAAAGACAACAAGCTAACACATCAGGGAAGCAGGGATGGGAAGAATCACAGAAACTGCTGGATACCACTTTTACCTTAAGAGACACACTTAAGGACACAAACATACATACAAACACCCCAGTGAAAAGTTCACAAACGACTACAAATAGTTTTCATTTGTAGGATTACAGTACCAATCCAGTCATTGTGGTGTGCTCACTAAGGAAACAAACACACCAGTCAGTCTGAAACCAAAAGTGAAAAAGCAAAGCTAATTATATTCTTTATGTAATCATTCTCAAGCCTTATTCCTTGATTAGAAACCATTTAATACCTGTATTTATTTCAGAAAACCGCTTTTGTAAAAATCACTCCAAATGTGTAAGAAGCCCAGAAGTACTTGTACATCTATGCTAAATAAACAGCCAATTGAACTACCACATATCATAAAAAACAAAGTTGAGTGGCTATGTATCCATTTAATTGTTCAAGCCCAGACAGGCTTCCAAGACTCTTCCTGCCTTTGCTACACAGTTTCAGGGATTCAAATATCCTTGGTAAGTGAAACCACAACTCTTATCTCTTGGGGTTCTGCTCTCACTGTTCCCTTTCCTTAAAATTCCTGTACATTTTAAGAGTAACAGAGCCTATCATAGAGAAGGGACAATAAAAACCACCATGTTGCTCTGGGAAGTGTTACAAAGCTTAAGGAAACGTATAGTATAAGGTACTCCTCTACATGGAAGTTTAAGAGCAGACGGACCCCATTATCCAATGTAAACCCTTCCACTACTTACCACTGCAACTGCTAAGTATTTAAATTATGAACTTTATAGAAGGAAATATCGTATTGCCTCTAAGACAAGGATTCTAAGAAAAAGATTTCTTCTTTCATTTAAAACACAGATCTCTTTCAAAAGAGTCTTTGTATTTGAGTAAATTGCTACCAAGAGCACCTAAATAAGACCACCTTTGATCTACAAAGACAAATGAAAGAAGAACAGAATTCATAGTTCCCTGCTAGACAAAGATTCGCCCTGCAGTTAATCATTCTCATTTATAACTGTATTTGCATAAAAGTACTATCTGCCTGAAGAGACCAGTTACTACTTGAAAACTTAGCAAAAAACAAGCCCCATTAATTATTCTCCCACTATCAATATATCCTTTATTTAGCACATGCAGAGCACACGTGCCTCAAATAAGTATTTGATGCAATTATCATAACACAAACAAAAAAGCTATCCCAGGTCAGCATGCCATCCACACAAAACTGCTAATTTTGCAGTCATGCTAATCTTACAGGGTTAGTGTTGGTATCGTGCTATTTAAAACCAAGATGATTACACTAACAGTTAAGTGTTTGTATCAAAATAGATCCCATGTCACATAGTGCCCCAGAAGCTCCAGCTTATTTACACATATAATCACCAATCATTAGTAAAGTAAAACTAGTAGTACATACTGTAAAATGTGTAGTTTTTCCTGGTTGTGGAAGGAACCTTCAACTTTAGATTCTGCCAATAGCAACAGTAAAGGAATTACCTACTGCCATTAAAATCCCCAGAGTCACTCCTAGATTAAGATGCTTCAGATCATAATTCTTTTCGACCAGTCAGTACTTCTTCAATTTTCATACCAATGTTTAACCAAACCGCCCCAAAATAACAAATGTGCCACTGTGATTAGCCAAAGAGGCCATCCTATCAACGCTATTCTAATATTTATTAACATTTTAGATCGGGCGCAGTGGCTCACACCTGTAATCCCACCACTTTGGAAGTACAAGGCAGGTGGGTCACTTGAGGTCAGGAGTTCAAGACCAGCCTGGCCAACATGGCAAAACCTCGTCTCTACTGAAAATACCAAAAATTAGCAGGAGATGGTGGTGCACGCCTATAGTTCCAGCTACTCAGGAGGCTGAGGCCTGGGAGGCGGAGGTTGTAGTGAGCCGAGATTGCACCACCGCACTCCAGCCTGGGTAACAGAGCAAGACTCTGTCTCAAAAAAAAAAAAAAAAAAAGAAAGAAAGAAAGAAAAGAAAAGAAAAAAGATTTTATAGTTTTGTTCACATAAAGAGGAACATATAATAGTCACTTTCAGAAATATTTCCCCTATCAGCTAATATACCTCTACTGAGGCCAATAAGAACAAATTCCAAGCATTACAAACCTGTATATTAATATTACACTGGAAAGATGGCCTACGTTTGACAGCAATAATCTTCTTTTTTCTTTTTTTTTTTTTTGAGTCAGAGTTTCGCTCTCATCACCCAGGCTGGAGTATAATGGCACAGTCTCAGCTCACTGCAACCTCTGCCTCCCTGTTTCAAGTGATTCTCCTGCCTCGGTCTCCCAAGCAGCTGGAATTACAGGCACCCACCAACATGCCCAGCTAATTTTTGTATCTTTAGTGGAGACAGGGTTTCACCATGTTGACCAGGCTGGTCTCAAACTCCTGACCTCAGGCTATCCACCCATCTCGGCCTCCCAAAGTGCTGGGATTACAGGCGTGACTCACCGCATCTGCCGAATAATCTTAGTAAGAACAAGAGACCCAAGGCTTCCTCAAAGCAGAGTAACAGTTGGTTTCCCTGGCTACAACAGCCTGTTTACCTGATTAGACATCTTTGTCAGAAGTCACTACCTAATCCAACAAAGAGGTGTAACGGCAGTTTACCTTCAGGCAGCAGAGTGGTCACTAAAAATGTAAGAGAACTAATAATCTAAGAGAAGCCCCAGGTCTCAGATGATAAATGACAACTGACCACAGTTACTCTGACATGCGCACAGATGTTTCCAAGGAACGCCACGCACAGTCAGGAGCAGGGAACATCATCACATCCACTATCACATCACTTTCCAAATTTTCCCGTTTCTCTTTTTCCTCTCCCATTTTTCTGCCCTCTCTGTGCAAGCTCATGCATTCACTGACTCTCTCTCTCTCTCTCTGTAGAGAGTCTACGTTAAAAAACAAATTCAATGTACTCACTCAATGCTGAGAGAAAACAGTTTTGATAACAGAATATCTGAGTTATTCATGAGCTTATACAATACCTGGAATCATCTGTCACTTCTTCAATAAAGCCTGATTCACATCTGGGACAAATATACTCCTATAAAAAAAAAGGAAGAAATAAATAAATGTTTTTCATTAGAAAGTTAAGTGACATATGTTGTTTCAGAGTAATATGGAGTATACACTGAGGCTCTGAAATGCTGTATAGAATTGCTGACTCCAGATGACTCCCGAGTAGTTTCTTTCTTTGCTTGGTTTTTGTGACACAGGGTCTCACTCTGTCACCCAGGCTGCACTGCAGTGGTGTGATCACAGCTCACTGCAGCATCAATCTCCCAGGCTCAAGTGATCCTCCCGCCTCAGCCTTCTGAGTGACTAGAACCACAGGCACATGCCAACAAACCTGGCTAATTTTTATTTTTAGTAGAGATGAGGTCTTGTTATGTTGCCCAAGCTGACTGCAAACGCCTGAACTGAAGCGATCTTCCTGCCTCAGTCTCCCAAAGTGCTGGAATTACAGGCATGAGCCACTGAGCCCAGCTTAGTTTTTTCTTTTTCTTTTGAGACAGAGTTTAGCTCTTTTTGCCCAGAATGGAACACAATGGCGTGATCTCAGCTCACTGCAAACTCTGCCTCCTGAGTTCACTCCTGTTGCAGCCTCCCGAGTAGCTGGGATTACAAGCATCCGCCACCACGCCCGGCTAAGTTTTGTATTTTTAGCAGAGACAGGATTTCACCGTATTGGTCAAGCTTGTCTCAAACTCCTGACCTCAGGTGATCCACCCTCCTCGGCCTTCCAAAGTGCTGGGATTACAGGCATGAGCCACAGCTCCTGGTTCCAGCCTAGTTTTTTCTATTATACTCTGGTAAATATAGAATTCCATAAGATATTTGCAGAATCGCTTCAGAGCTACCTAAGTGGTTCCCACTGAGAGCTCAAAGGGGGAGTGTCAGATGTTTTTCTTTATTTCAAAATTTAGGTTACTTCTTCTTCTTCTTCTTCTTCTTATTATTATTATTATTATTATTTTTTTTTTAGACAGAGTTTCGTTAGCTCAATG